GTAAATAACTCTGTCAATGTGCAGTTCCCTGGTTAATTCCCGATTCCTGGTTTAATGAATAAGCTTGTTTGCTCCTTTTAGAATTTCAGAACATGTTACAAAAATCATACACAAACACACAACAACTGTGTTCAGTGTTCAAGGTGAGGGCTTGCAGATGCCTAATAATTAAAAAAAATTATATTCTTATCCCAGTCATTTACTGGTATTGCTAAAAGGTAAAACCCTACAAGCCTTTACAGACAATGCCAGTAAAGTTACAAAATGTTGCTTATAAGTACTCCTATATAGGTACTGTCATGCATTGACAAAAAATACAAATAAATACATGAATAAAATGAAACCTTCACAGACTGCATTGTGTCTTTACACTTCACATCTGCACAATAATTCATGTAAGTAAATCTTTATGCACGCTTATTCTGGTTGATGAATTGGCACTTCAGCCCGCACCCACGACTTCTGACAAGAGGGATTATTCAATAAACAGATAGGTAGGTTAGGAAAATATAATGGGGATTAATTCTAACACAGTCATTTTAGCCATTTCTGGTATTCTGTAAGTTGGCTGGAAACAAAGTTTTTGGCATTCTGGAAAATCTCTTTCACAGGCGTTTTATAGTTCAGGGTGTGCCTTCACTAGTTTTCACCACTGGAATGAGCTACCTCTTAAAGGACCACTCTAGGCACCCAGACCACTTCAGCTTAATGAAGTGGTCTGGGTGCCAGGTCCTTCTAGGGTTAACCCATTTTTTCATAATTATAGCAGTTTCAGAGAAACTGCTATAATTATGAATGGGTTAAGCCTTCCCCCTAAACCTCTAGTGGCTGTCTCATTGACAGCCACTAGAGGCGCTTGCGTGCTTCTCACTGTGATTTTCACAGTGAGAGCACGCCAGCGTCATAGGAAAGCATTGATAATGCTTTCCTATGTGACCAACTGAATGCGCGCGCAGCCTTGCCGCGCGGCGGGAGGGAAGGAGGCGGAGGAGGAGAGCACCCCGCCCAGCGCTGGAAAAAGGTAAGTTTTTACCCCTTTCCCCCTTCCAGAGCCGGGCGGGAGGGGGACCCTGAGGGTGGGGGCACCCTCAGGGCACTATAGTGCCAGGAAAACGAGTATGTTTTCCTGGCACTATAGTGGTCCTTTAACGTGACGTGTGAGATCTCTGCACAAGCACATTCGATTACACAGCTGCATGTATAATTCAAACATTGGCAAGTGTGCAATTTGTCAATCAGACGTCACAAAGTGGAAAAATAACTGTCTGGGGACATTTACAAGGACAAATAGTATCCGGGGACAAATAAATCAATCAGGGGACATTTTGGACATCCTAATTGATTTGCAGTGTTAGTAAATCTGGCTACAAGAAGACACAAATTCAAAAATGCTACTTGCTGCTGCAAATCACATATCCTTTAAACAAATGATGTTCACATAGCTCATTGTTGTCATGGGAATCAAGCATGTACCAATCCCATTCCTATTCCGTAAAACATAAAATATGCTTCCACTTATTAGGATTAGTTTAACCATGGCAGACATGTCGTGTCCTGTGCAGTATGTTAGATTCGTCCATAAATGTCATGTCACATCCTTGAGAACACACAAACACACGGCTATCATATCATGTAAAGTGGCTGAGGCATAAGTCAGAAAATGATGTCCTTGCTCATCTCATCAAATGGACACCTTAAATCTAGGTGAGGACAAAGCGGGAAGCGATGCGCATGTTGAGGCAGGGAATTTATTGCTGGATACGGATCAACAGAGCACTTAGAAAACCAGTGCAGTGGGAAATCAATATGACACAGGGCCAGCTCTTTCTCTATAAACTTCTGCCAAAGCAAAAAAAAAAAAAAAAAAAGCAGCCAAACGCACGTGATTTTTTTTCATTTATATATCTCTCATTTCACATGATTTACTATCTTCCTCTTGCAAAATGCATATGGAATGTTTAATGAAAAATCTTATCATTCTGATGCTACAGGGTTTCTAAACTTGGCTGGGACATGGGGCGATTGATCAAATGTGCTCAAAGACATAGAATCTCCATTTTAAACGAGAATATATTTTACCTCCTCTATCCTTTTTTAAAAAGTAGAATTTTATCACATTAATAAACAGAGTTATCCGGTTACCTGCATATCAGACAAATGAACTCATTGTTTCAAGGGCTGGATACAGCTGTACTTCTGGAGCTGATGTGTGAATCCAGGGGTAGTAACCATTTTTGACAAAGAACCTTTTTTTAATCCACTGAATCTGTCGGTGCCACTTAGTCACCTGATAGAATTGTATAGCTATAATAACATATTTTAACCAACGGAACATGGAGCTCACTATAATAAAAATGCCATAACAAAAAATGCCTCTTTATGTAGTTCTTACTTTATCAGTGAATTCTGGTTCTGTTCCTATAGGCAAACTAGGCAAGGGATTCACATCTGGACACAACATACATAATGTAAAAGCTTGCCCTATCATACACTGCATACAATGCAAGAAGGACTCAGCCATGCCTCTGATGAGGTCGGAGATCCAACAAATAGGTATGTTTTAGATCATTTACTGTGTTCTTACTTTGGGTAAATTTGCCCAGTATATCAGATAGTGCAGGGGTGCCCAAAAAAGGTAGATCCCCAGATGTTTTGAAACTACAACTTCCATAATGCTTTGTTATTCTAAAAGCATTCTAAAGGCATGCAAAGCATCATGGGAGTTGTAGTTCTACAACATCTGGGGACCTAACTTTTTAGCACCCCTGAGTTGGTGAAGATTCCTATAGGCAGGATTAGTCTGACATAAGAATGGTAATGTATTCATATATTTTTAAACTATTTTACCAGGAAGTATATGTATTCCCCGTAATGGCACATGTTGGTTATATAACTGTGCTTGACTGCTGATTGCACCATTACCCTGAAGGACAAGTTAGCCTACCCAGGCTGGACATACACAAAGCACATGTATAGATACTATATCTGCAATTGATCCCCTCCCCCCAATTATATTGCACTCTCAAATATTATTGCTGCAAATGTATTGCAATCGTCACATGACTTTCTTTTTCTGCTTTAGTGACACAGACCTTCATTTAATCTGCCCTGTTGTTTGATACCTGTAGTCCCTTAACTGCAATTCTCATGTTACTCCGAAGGCTTTAAAATTGAAAATAGGTGCAGTATCTGAATGCCTGTATTAAACATATTGCAATACTCCATTATTTTGCATCTTCCTCCCTTTCTCTCCAACCATCAATTTATACTACAATAATTTACATTTTACTACAAATAACAATACATTCATGTCTGTCTGAGGATGAAAAAAATAAAAAATAACAATGATTAATTTTCATTTATCATATTAGTATTGCAATGACTGAATAAATATCCTATTTCTGTTTCATAAAGAAACACTTTACCATAAAGTGAACGCCAGAAAATATTCACCATAACAAATTACAGCAAACTAAAGAAACATGTACCATTCCCACAACTATACTAAGATGGGCAAATAAAGTGCCTACTGGCAGTATAGCCCGAGATGTGCCCAGCCATTCTCTCCATCCAGCACAATAGGTGTTAAAAATAACTTTTGCAGTCCCTCCTGAAACGTAGCACACTATATGACTTCATAGCGTGTCAGTCAGTGAGTTAGAGGGAAAGGGTAAAGTGAAGCTAATCAGGATGAAATGAGATTAAAGGCTGTCTAATTTTACAGCAACTGTGATCCATCAGGCACTGTGAAAGTGACAGTAGAAATGAATGATGGAGACAGACAGGTGGGGCTGTACATTCCACTGATTTATCCTCAAATGCACTGGGCCTTATTTTATTGAGTGAGCACGACCGCATTCATCATTACTGTCATCTAGGCCCACTTCCCTCCATTTAAAAAGGTCACTTTACTAGAAGGAAGAGCAGGAATAAGGGTGAGGCTATTTCAAATCAAATTTCATATCCCACAACACTTGTGCATACGGAACACTTCATAGTGGCATAGGGCAGAGCACACGTCATTTTACAGGAACCTCGGGGTTAGCAGGGTGGCCAGGGCAACGTGCAGTAACAATCTCAAGGAAGAAAACAGTAATTGCTATTGTTTTTAAGACAGAGTGACCCGGCCTATATTAATATATAAAAAAACACTCTAAGTACTACAGATCAATGTAGAGGTTACTGCACTATGGCCCCTGTTTTCTGTCATTTTTGGATGGTTTGACAAAACTAGGTTTCTCCCATGTACGAATAGTTCCATTCGGCAACAGTTCAAATGATGAGGAATTTCCTCTTCTTCATTATTTGTCCAAAGTTGTCCCACCCTGGACAGCAATACTAGGCTGTGGGGACTGAGAGTTGGATAATCAAGCGTTCTCAGCCTATCAGTGCCAATCTATTTTTTGTCAAAACCTTCCATAATCGTTTGACATAAAATTAGGGTTTCCAAAAAAAGTCTTGTACACTTTCTATATATCCCATTTACTAGCAACCCACAAACAGCAATGTATCAACTGTATGCCTTCTTTGTATCTATTCAGAACACTTCAATTAGTCACTAGTTTGCACTGTGATGTGGGTTGCAACCCTCTCATCTCCTCAAGCCATGCACAACTCCAGAATATTTAACATATAAGTGCAAACAGGACTTCAACACTACTGATCCCTTCTCTGTAGCTGCAATACTTCATAGGGTCAAAAGATGTCAGTATCAAAACCAAATAATGCTTGGAATATTATGTTTACTGTACTAAGCCAGACCAATGTAGGGCTCGACAGGCAAATACACAACACACTTGTTGCATCGTTTAGTAGTAGCATTGAACATGGCATGACAAATCTGCATCCTTAATGCACTTTGAATCTACACTGAACAAAATTATAAACGCAACACTTTTGTTTTTCCCTCATTTTTCATGAGCTGAACTCAAAGATCTAAGACTTTTTCTATGTACACAAAAGGCCTATTTCTCTCAAATATTGTTCACAAATCTGTCTAAATCTGTGTTAGTGAGCACTTCTCCTTTGCCGAGATAATCCATCCACCTCACAGGTGTGGCATATCAAGATGCTGATTAGACAGCATGATTATTGCACAGGTGTGCCTTAGGCTTGCCACAATAAAAGGCCACTCTAAAATGTGCAGTTTTATGCCACACCTGTGAGGTGGATGGATTATCTCGGCAAAGGTGAAGTGCTCAGTAACACAGATTTAGACAGATTTGTGAACAATATTTGAAAGAAATAGGCCTTTTGTGTACATAGAAAAAGTCTTAGATCTTTCAATTCAGCTCATGAAAAATGGGGGCAAAAACAAAAGTGTTGCGTTTATAATTTTGTTCAGTGTATATAAAAAAGAACTTTGAGAACCCTATTAACAATTAAACTGTAGTATCTATGACACCAGTATACTACTGGCAGTGGCATCTTTTCCAGGTAGTGGCACCTGTGGCCCAGCCCCTTGCTGCCCATATACACTAGTTACCCCAGCTTGTTTGGATGGTTATGGTGCTTAAAGTGCCCAATTTAAATAGTCATGATGTGCACCTTTTCAAAAAATACTTGCAAAGAGAGGCTTTATAGTGGTGAATCCATAAACATATAGAGTAACTCAGCCTCATTAGTTGAAAGAAAAAAATAATGTAAACAAGAACAAATGAATACATACTGTTAGTTTCTCTTTATGTATCTCTCTACTTCATACTTCCCATTATTTCAAATGGACAAAGAGGAACACTTAAATTTAAGTAGTGTGATTAGGGGTGTGGCCAGGGGCAGCGCTGTTCTGAGAAATTTTAGTTGACTTACAAATAAAAATGTATACACATAAAATGCATTTTATCACAAGAACAATGTTCTTATTTACACAGACAGAATTTTAAACAAATTTATTGCAGTTTAAAGACACATTACTGTGCATTTTATTGTTGTGGAGCTCTGTTATACACTCAGACACAACAACAATATGAAGCTCTTAGAAAAGAGGTACATTAGAATAGAATACAGGGATTTAGGCCCAAGATAGGGGCTGCCCCTACAATTTTCGAGGTATGCTACTTCCTCTTTCTCACTGTCCTTTTATCCATATTCCTCCTATATCAAGGGACATTACCATAGATACTGTACTAGTGTCCATGCTTTAACATAATTTACATACCACTCAGGATTTGACATTCATAAAAGGCATCAACGTACACCAAGTTGACTAACATCCTCCCTGCCAGCCACGCACAGAAGACCATGCAAGGAACACTGGCATGGTCCTAGTGCCCTCCAGACATCTCGAGCGCAGGTAATCATGTGCATGGATTTTCCTGGCTGGGAACCATTCCCTGGATCCATGGATACTGGACACCAGGAAATTAAATTAGGATGGTGGGAAAGGACTCTAAAATAGGGACAACAGTGCCTTCAACAGTGGGTCATTTCTATGCTGTTTCCAGTGGTTACATATATATGCAGGGTAGACCAAATTTCAGAGTAGGGTTCTAGGAGTCAATAACTTTTTTTTGCATTAATGAACCATTTACATACAATGAATGCTTAAGGTATGCTTAATTGTTTGGCTAGGTACTGAAGATGACATCTTTTAAATGGACTCCATTTGCTGCCATTTATATAAAAAAAAAAGGGGAGCTACTGACTGTCTTAGAGCATCAGCTGACCGCTCTAAGCCCACTCAGCGGCTGCCAATTGGGTTACTGCTTTCTGAATCAGAATGAGAGAAACCGGATATGGACGGGTTAAAGGCAGTAACAACACTTGAGAGCCAACTTATAGATTTAATCCATCGTGAACTATTTAACCCCTAAAAGTAAGGAAGCACCAGAACCTCATGGAGCCATAACAACTTCATTTCGATTAGGTTGTTAGGGAGTCCAGGGTGTTCCTTTAAGTACACAGTGCATTAGATATAAAAAATTCTTAGAAGAAGTGCATGCAACTTCTTACAAAGGTAGGAATCCAACTATAAAAATATCCTGGCTCATAGATCATACAAACAAACAGATAACTAATTATTCAATTGCAAGTTATTTTAAGTGTGAATTGTTGGTAATTCAAAGTGAACTTTAGGCTAAAATATGAAAAATTCTCCATGTCAGTTACGTTTCCAGTTCAGCTATTTTGGCTTATAATTGGAAATTCACTTTAAATTCATATTAGTGAATAAGCCTATTACATTTAAGAAGCAGCCATAAATACATGTCATCAAAATAGATGTAGTACTGAAACAAACCACTAGATGGTACACCTTACTCTCATCTCTCAACAAGAATCAAACTCTGTAATGTGTGTAATGTGTGTTGCGTTAATCATGTCCTTTGTGTGTACGCTTGCAGTGCAATATAGCACACAAAATGATTTACTATTATACTGTTAATGCGCAGTGCCAGATCTATGCATTGTGAAGACAGATTAAAAAGAGAAGAATGTGTGTATTATGAAGACAGCATAAAAAAAGGACAAATGGGCAAATGTTTGTTAAATGTTGGGTGTGAGCTAATTTCTCAGAAGCGTACATATCACTCGTTGTGTTTACTGTGTCATTTCAACTCTGAGAGGTGGCACAACTTTATCATTTCTTTAATCAAATTTGTTTCCGCGCTATAAATTGGATCGAACATCCTTTTATTAGAAGTGATTATATCCAATTCACAAAACTTCACAATTCAACTAGCTCAGCTGCTTGATGTAAGCAAATTTGATATAATTAGTTCACAACATTTAATTTGCTTAGTCCATGCTAGTGAATACATGCACATACACCACAATGATTTGTGCAGCTTAGCAGCCTATTTAAAGTTAAATTTCACAGAATCAGCCAAAAAGAATACTTTTACAAATCTAGTTAAAGGGAACGTAACACAGAATTAAGTTGGGAAATATTTTCTGATTGGGTTGTAATCAGTGGATATACATAAATACATTGCAAAGGCAAAAGGCTTGTAGAAGCTGACATCTTGTTTTTTAAGCTGCATTTTGTATTTAATCTGTTTTTAGTTTTCACGCTGATCTTTTATGTTGTTTATGATCAGAATTTAGAAATACATACATTACTTATTTGTTAGAACATTTGCTGATTCCTTCCATAGAGTGTGTGCCTAACTATCTCACGAAAAGTCAATGTCTATCCAGTTATACCCTACGCTACTGGGTCAGGAGACTATCATGAAACATAAATCATTCCGCTAAATTTGAAAGCACATATAAGAAAACTGTATCTACATATATCACAAGTAATGGATGGATTCACTCACAATAAAGCATTACTAAACAATATTAAAGTCGATATATTGCATTGTATGGGGTACAACAAATGATAGGAATTTAATAAGTTTACTTATCCATTGATTTAACAAATATATATTTGTGCGGTGTGAAAAACAACATTAAATGTATAAATCGCACACCTTTATCATGCAACTGGCTGCCTCCATCTTAGTTCACTCTCAGCTAACATTATCAGCAGTCAGCATAGAGAATGCAAACAAAGAAAATGAGATATTAACCCCTTAAGGACACATGACATGTGTGACATGTCATGATTCCCACTTATTCCAGAAGTTTGGTCCTTAAGGGGTTAAACAATGCTTCTATTTCTCCTTCTCATTTGCAAAGTGTGCCCTGGTTGTGCCTTGTCTCAATTAGATTATAATAAATATTTATTACAAATTTAAGTAATGGATGTTTCATATGTTTTTTTTTCCATGGTGTCATTTCCAGAGACGTGGCAGCTCACTTTTAAGCCACCCTCCTTTTTCATACAACTTGGCTATGTTTAACTTGAGTGTTGGCTGACCTCTTCCATCAAGTAACACACACAAAAAAAGCCGTTAGCATTCTGATATTAGGAAGAAAAATCCATAATGTAAAATAAGCCCTATATAATTTACAATAATTTGAAAATTAAACACACATAAAAAAACAATATATAGCATAATGGCATTAGTAGATACATTTTATTAATTTATTTTATGAAAATTCCACCTAGATTTGATAGCAATTACTCTTCTGTAGACTTCCACAGTTCCACAACATAGGTTAATTTTCTGTTTTGTTGTATTATAAATGAAAAAAACAACAACAAAACACTGTTTATGTCAAGAAAGATATATAATACAAGCTCATTTGTGTAAGAATGATCTGTTCTCTTGCTGGCAACATGTAAATACACCTTTAAATATTACTTTAAACACTCAGTCAATGGCAAATCTGCTTCTATTTGCAGAAACCAGCTAACATGAGCTATTTAAATTACATTTTGCCCATTAAATGAAGCATATTTGCTTACATTTTTTATTGGCGCTGTGCAGCTGAATGCTGAGGACGGTGAAATTGTACAAATTGTGCTCCATTGCATTTAAAATAAAGAGCGCATTTACAGTACAGAGGATGTGTGATTAAAGATGAAATTAGAAGTATATTGGATATACAGACTAAAGTTTGTCTGGTGGTACTCGAACAGTTGTGTTGAGTTTAAACTGTTTGTTGATTGAAGTCAAAGAAAAATTGCCACCAAATTCAATCAAAGATGCCCTATGATCTATCTACCTTCGCAGGCATATTTCAAGACTATGCAAATAAACCCCTACAAATGAATGAAGCAATGTTACTAAAAGGTAAAAGGTTACACCTTTTTACCATATATGTATATATGAACACACCACATGTCTTACAAATCTCTCTGATGATGTTATTTTGGGATGGACTGATCTGCTTGTTAGCTACATTACTGCACTGTCTAGAGAAAAACAACCTCTCTTCCACAGTCAATGTCCACTCTTCGATTAAGCCCCCCACCATATGGGACACCCAATTTTCATCCAAAGTCTCATGCTGAAAATGGTGACCCCGCTTGTCACTTAAATGAACAACTTGCAAAGGACGCTTTTCAACCGCACTAGATGTAAGCCTTCCTTTGTCAACTTAGCATATCCTTTCACCTTGAATATATATATATATATATATATATAAAACACAAACCAAGAGAGTCATGCCAGCTTAGACATTGTCCAGATGCTGGGGGACGAGGGCAATCATGGAACAGCTAGCAGTCCTTGACCATCAGATAGAATGCCCACTGATCCACCTAACTAGTGTATACAGGAAGAACATCAGAATGTCATTCGGGCTAGATAAGTTTGTGTAGATGATAACAAAAACAGGGAAGGTTATCAGGAAGGAGTACCAGAAGGTCAAATAGGAGATGTA